CACCCACCCAACCACCCACCCACCCACCCATCCATCCATCCATCCATCCATCCATCCATCCATCCATCCATCCATCCATCTAACCTTTGTTTGTGTGTGTGTATTTGTCAGGACACCCGGACGTTTGCCTTTGACTTCCAGACAGAGACGCCCATCAAGAAAGGCGTGTTTACGTCGCAGGACAGGACTTTGCTAGAGCGTCTCGTCGCACAGGTGGGGACAGGGATTTTACACCTGACTGTTGTAGCTTTTCCACATTTCAAATATCATTTTGTTTTATTTTTTTTGGTGACCCTTGTTCATCACAGTTTCTTAATTTGCTAAATGGCATGCAGGTTTTTATTTCCATTGTTGTTTTACAGTTTTTACTTCAAACCTGGGGCTTGTGCCCTGCAGTCAAAGACCATCTTTGAATTTTGCAAACCACTGATAATTATCATTTCTATTTCGTCTATTGGCTAACAATACAGCTCTAGCTCTTTGTAATACCTTCATCTTTACACAAAATGCATGTGCATGAACATATAGGCTACACTGTGTAGAGTAACGACATTAGATTAACAAGCAGACATTCATACATGTACTATCACAACACGGTCAGTAATGATATTCACATCACATTACGAACATAAGAGTGCTTTACTGTGGGTGCTTGGTGGGTGCTCTGGTGTGGTTTGCTCCCTCTTTCCTATCGAACATCTATCGTCCTGATCTCTCCTCCTTTTTTGTGTTTGTTACTCGCTTGTAACACCTCTTATCTTCGGCACTTATATGATCTTATAGTGTTGCGCAAGTGCCGTAAAACTCTTACTAAAACTAAACTAAAGAGTACTATAAATAAGAAAGACTAACAATCTAGATGGCATTTCACGGAACATGTTTTAAAAAATGAATTTTGAGTTTTGCTGTCAACTTCATGTCCCTCAAATGTTGTGGAAATAACATGTGTCATGACACTGTAGAATCAGACGCTTGTCAATTTTTGGGCACATAGGGTTATTGGTATCATCTTAAAGCATGTTCATTTGCCTTACATTTAATGAAAAAAAATTCCATTTATCTGGAATAGAAGTCGAGATATTTGCTAGAGAAGGAAGTCGGGGTCTCCTGGGTACAGAGCTATGTTGTTGTTGTTTTCAAATCCCTTTAGCTGCGAGCATTTCGCTCTTGGCAGCGCTATGCCTCCCTCAAGTAACCACATGTCCTTGTCATCTGGTTACAGAGGTAAAATTAGGGAGAAAGTGGCCACCAAAGTTTGATGATTTCCAAAGCTTGAACTTTCTCGCTCATTTTTAATTTCTTTAATCAATGTTTTTCAGTAAAATTCAGGCAGGAATTTTTTAAAAAATAGACATATAACGTGTTGAGCCAAAAAAACAAAAATTATAAAAAATTTGTCAAACTGCAGGAAAAATGCCAATATCTTCGATTTCATTGTTTTGACGAGCGCCTGATTTCACCACGATGCCTCACATATCTCTCAGAGCCACAGTGTGTCCTAACATCAGCATATCTTTTATCTTTGTCCTTTTCCTCAGCTCCAAGCGGCTCTCCTCGACCTCCACGAGATTTTCTTCGAGATCCCGACCTCGGAGCGGATGGCTCTCATCGAGCAGACGCGGGCCAAGGAGCAGGAGAAGAGAGTCCGGATTGTGAGTGGCTGGGGCGGATAGTGGGGCTGGGAATTCATGAAGTTTGATTTTCAATTGTGAAGCGTGCTAACAAAATGAGAAACTTCTCGGATTTTAGCCCTATGGAAAAAGATGCATCCCGCTTATAGGTTAAGTTTTTATAATATAAAAGTATGAAATAATAAAGAGAATGTTAAACTTAAATATGGTATCAATTGAAAATCTGCAAATTTTACCCTTGTGTAAATTTTTGGCCGATATCTTCGCTTGTGGATTTCTAGAAGTAACTCATTTTGTCAGCATGCCTCAGATTTTAATAAGCTGTCTGTGGATTGTGCTTTCAACAAGGCTCATCACCCTCACATGTTACTCTATACCAGGTTTCTTTCCTGTGGGACTTGATTTTGCAATTTTTGCCAGCCAATCTTAATGAAATTAATTTTTAAAAGTTGTTTTTTATATAACCAATCAAATAGACACACCGATGAAACCAAACTTTTTGTTTTAGGTAGGGCAATGCCCCGGATATCTGGGTTAGCCTGCTTGTCCTTAAAAGCAACCTTATGTGGATATGCAATTCTATTGAGTGTATGAAAAACATTTTCTAGATGCTCATTATCCTTTGCACAGTATGTTTATACAGGTGCTAAAAGTTTGATTTGTAACAAAAATCTCTTTAGGTTGTATATGGCCAAATTATGTCGATAGTTCCGTAAAACATATATAGTAGTGGAACCAGCCCTTACGGCCACCTGTCCAAAACAGTCACCTGTACAAACGACCATTTCTCACATTTCCCCTTGCTTTTGTTTTTATATAAAATTACACTGTCCAAGATGTCCACCTGTCTAAAACAACCGGTTTTCTCTTTGACAATGGTTGGCAGTCTTGGACAATTTTGACTGTATTCAAACAACAAACAAATTAAGTTTGGTAGATGTTCATACAAACTCTACCAAGGTCCAACACCAAGCACGAATTGACAATCTGTGTTATGTTTTATGTTCTCAGTCCAAGAAAAGTGAGAATCTGTTTTATGTTTTATGTTTTATGTTTTATGTTTTATGTTCTCAGTCCAAGGACAGTGTGGGAATCTGTGATATGTTTTATGTTCTCAGTCCAAGGACAGTGTGGGAATCTGTGATATGTTTTATGTTCTCAGTCCAAGGACAGTGTGGGAATCTGTGATATGTTTTATGTTCTCAGTCCAAGGACAGTGTCAGAGGCTCTGGGCCCAGGATCAGTCAGGCAACTCTGAAGGCTCTAGAACGGAAGAGAAAAGCAAGGTTTGTATGTTTAGCTCAGTGCTTGCCAACATGGATGTTGTTGTTGTTATTGCTGTTGTTATTGCTGTTGTTTTCAAATCCCTTTAGCTGCGAGCATTTCGCTCTTGGCAGCGCAATGCCTCCCTCAAGTAACCACATGTCCTTGTCATCTGGTCAGCGCCAGAGTAGAGCAGTCTTTGAAAGTCTGTAGGTGTGTGTAGGAGCCTGCGTCGAAAAACTGCCAGGTTTGGGCAGTGAAGGAGAAGATGTTCAACGGTCTCGTCGTGGTAGTCACAGTGTCTGCAATGGGGTTACCACATGGATAATGTCACCCCTCCTAGTGGGGTTGGTCTCTTTGGTGGAGGGTGGGAATCACCCGGATAGTGACAGGTCTTATTTTATACCCCACTTGGAAATACATGAAGGTGTGTGTTGTGAAAATGTTACCCTCTTCAATGTGGTAAAAGTGAGCACTGACAAGCATTGGTCAAGTTGCTTCACAATTCAGACAAAGTTGAATCTCTTGCCGAATGCTGTATTTTCATTCTGTTTATCCTAGTTATTGTGTCAGGCAGACAGCTTGTAGTACAATTTATATGGTTTGGAAATTTTTGAACAATGTTTTAAAAAAAAAACTATATTTGAATGTTGTATTTATTTTAGAAAGTATGACCAGCAGCATTAAGTATTTTAAAAACAGTGAAGAACAGTGCACCTTTAAAAAAAAAACCCAGTGTATTTAAATGTGTTTGTTTGAACCACCTAATTTTTGGCTTGTGTGTTGGTCAAAATTTAGATTTAACAAAATTTAACTGAATACATGACCTCAGTGACAGCTGAGGAGAGACAACGTAAGTCTACGTTAACCTGTGGTATTATTTGTGTCTTGTCCAGAGAGGCGGAAGCTTCTGCCATGCTGAGCGTGTCCAGCTCACGACCCACCACCGCCCCTCCCGCCACCAGTAGCCCACGCTGTCAGAACCACCAGGACATAAGGTAGGTCTACACACCCACCCACCACCCACCTACCACCACGATTTCTTTTGTATGTTTGTCACTCTCCTGTGAACTTCTATTTCCGGGGTGCCTTGATAGTCGAAGCAGACTTTGTGCTGTTGAAGCTAGAGAGGGGAGCAAAGTACGCCTAATTCCCGTTTGGACTTTTCTATTGACATCCACCCCATGGCGATCATATGACCTTATGCAGCTGCAAGCGCCATAAAACCTTACAAATACAAACAAGTATTTGTCAGTATGTACATGGGAGAGTATTTGTCACTCCGTGTTTGTGAGAGTACTTGTCAGTGTGTACATGAGAGAGTAATTGTTAGTGTGTACATGGGAGAGTATTTGTCAGTGTGTACATGGGAGAGTATTTGTCAGTGTGTACATGGGAGAGTATTTGTTAGTGTGTACATGGGAGAGTATTTGTCAGTCCGTGTTTGAGAGAGTCAGCCTGGTCCTACTGCTGTCAGTGTGTACATGTGAGAGTGTTTGTCAGTCCGTCTTTGAGAGAGTCAGCCTGGTCCTACTGCTGTCCTGGACACAGCGGACCTCTGAGGAGACATTTTGGTTTTCTCATCTCCAGGGCTCTCAAACCTCTGCAGGGGCACGGTCAGACGCAGGTGTCTACCAGCAGAACGGACACCAGTCGGTGAGTACGTGTGTGTGTGTGTGTGTGTGTGTGTGTGTGTGTGTGAGTCAACATGTGTGTGTATGTGTGTGTGTGTGTTTCTCTGTGTGTGTGTGTGTGTGTGTTTCTCTGTGTGTGTGTGTGTCTCTGTGTGTGTGTGTGTGTGCTCTCTGTAGGACGGAATATCACACGTCAACATGCTGTCATGCGGCCGAAGCCTACTCTTATCGATTTTAGACCACCAAGGGATCTTTTAACGTGCACAACTTGCACACGGGACCTCCGAGATTTTTCGCCCTTGTCCGAGAAGGCTAGGTGTAGATCTTTCCTACCAGAAGATCAGGGGTGTGGCTGAAAGACAGCAGTAAGAAAAAGCCAATGAGTAGCAGTAGAAAAGGCTGTAGAAAGAATCAGGAGCCCAGAGAAGGGGGCAAAGGAGGTGAGGGGGTGGGGGCAGAAAGAGGAGACGAAAGCAGACAACAGAACATTGCTAGAGAGTAGGAAAAGAGGTGAAAGGAGACAATTTTAGAGAAGAAAAATTTTCGGTCGCTACCCGGAATCGAACCCGGGACCTTTGGATGAGAGGCGAACACCTTAACCTCTAGGCCACGAGAGCCCCACAAATAATAGTTGATTTACAGCATACAACTAAAGCTTTTAAAAGTTGACACATTTTCCTCAACACCACTCTTTAATGTTCGCTTAGGAACACGATTCAAAAGACAGGGTGAGTATTTTTTTAGACTCTCGTGGAGCACGTGGAAACGTCTAGACAGCCGGGGGATGAAATCTACAAGCTTACACTGAAATGTGAGGGCAGGGTGGTGTCGCTGTCTCAAAATGAGCAATTGTAGGCAAGGTTACTGTAAGTCATTTATTTTAGTGATCCTGTGTATGCATCCAAAGAGTGGTTTTTTGATATAGAACTTTTTAATTACTTCCTTAAGATTAAAAAAAATAATTTTGTTTGGTTGCTGGCCTGCAGAAGTGCCATGCAAAGTTTTGTGGGCATAGGGAAATTCTTCAGTGAGCTAGAATTTTTTAAACGCAGTCTGACGAAAGGGAACAAGATGTACATGTATATTTCTTAATGTCTGCATCTTTTTTCCAACCTCGTTCTGCCTCCTTTACCTTTTCTCCCAGGCCAAGTTTTGAAAATTATCTGTTGCATCTAGTAGGATGAGGAAATTAGTGTAAAATCGTACATCCTGAATTCTCGGGCAATAATAGTTGTAAATCATATAGACAATGCTGTAGAGCTTGGATGTACACTTTATAATGTAACTAGCTGGGCCCCGTTTCGATGAAAGGAATGATCGGTCCTTTAATATCAACTAAAAGTCATTGGCCTACTATATTTACACTCTACTGGAATGGGGCAATAACTCTTGAGAGATGCAAACAATTAGAAGGTCTAGATCTATAATCTATACTCTCAAAACAAAATGCGTCTCGCGAAATATCACTTCTGGATTTTCTAAAATTACAGAGACTGAAGCGTCGGCCTACAAAAGCGATCGGCAAAATAAAGAAATTTAGCTTTTTGTAGCAAAACTGTCTCAAAACTGAAAAAACCAAGGGCGTCATGATCTGGAGAATATTTTAAAGAATCTTTTGGTCGAAAACCGCATGTCGATCGATGCAGCCATTAAAAAGCCTTTTGAATAGCAAAATTGGGCCACCACAAATAGATAATAGATAATTATTGTTGTTGTTATTATTTGTATTATTTTTAAAATTGTTGTTATTATTGTTATTGTTACTATTATTATTATTATTATTATTATTGTGACGGTTGCATATGGCCTCACATTACAAAAAAAATTAATACTTGAGAAGAAGACGAAAACACACAGCCGCTCCATTGCCTTCCTGCCGGTCAACTCAATTGATTGTTGTTTATTTTACACTGAAATCTCGTGTGAATTCAAAACGAGACAAAATATGACGTATTAAGAACGGGAAATAATTGTGATATTAAAGAATCGTTATTTCAACGTTCGCAAAATAATTCATTCCCATTTTTTACTTTTCATAACATCAGTCATACATTACAATTATTATTAATCTTATTGTTATTACTATTATTATTATTATTATTATTATTATTATTAATAATCTTACTGTTGTAATTATATTTATTATTATTATTATTATTATTATTATTGTTACTATTATTATTATTGTTATTGTTGTTACTATTATTATTATTATTATTATTATTATTGTTACTATTATTATTATTATTGTTATTATTATTATTATTGTTACTATTATTATTATTGTTACTATTATTATTATTATTATTGTTATTATTAATATTATTATTATTATTATTATTACTGTTATTATTACTATTACTTTTATTATAATCATGCAACATGAACTATGGATAATATTCCTGCTCCTCCAGGTCGGAGAAAGAACGCCCACGGACAGCCCCGGAGAAACAGCTGACTAAGCCAAAACGTATCACTGCCCCGTCCCACCCCAGACCCTCGGTGTCCTCGGGCCAGGACTCGAGCAAGGACGCGCAGAAAGACGGTAATTGTCTCTTCTCCTTCAAGGTCACTGCGGGAAACGAAGTTTATCTTCTGAAAAGAAAAAAAAAGCTACCAACCAGTGCATTAATGATGAAAAAACGTGTTTAATATGTGAGGTAGCGTGGTGGGATCAGGCTCTCGTCAAAATAATCAAAGTGAAGAAACTTGCATTTTTCCACAGGTTTGTGAATTTTTATCAAATTTATGTTTTTGGGCTCTACACCTTTCATGCCCATTAAAGAACTCATTTCTGTGTAGATTTTTCTGAAAAACGTTGATTAAAAGCACAAAAAATGTAAATTTTCTGTTACCACCGACTCTGAAGCTAAGGAAATAACTAATCTTTGGCGGCCATTTTCTCACTAATTTTACCTCTGAAAACAGGTAACCCCACCTCTTTCATTCGCAAATATCTCGACTTGTATTCAAGATAAATGGATATTTTTTAAATTTAAATAAAGACAAGTGAACAAGCTATAAGATGGTACTAATAACTCTACAAGCCCAAAAATTGACGAGAGCCTGATTCCACCACGCTGCCTCACATATGCTTTTGAGGGTCTCAGTATGGAAGTATGTTTTCTTATTGGAAAAGAGGTATTTTTCTTCGTCTAGTATTGCTTCTCAGGACTTGTCAATGCTTAACACGTGGCCCCCGCGGGATGCCGATCGGCAATGGTGTGATATATACGTAGCATGTACCGCATCTGTGTCCTGGTCCGTGGGGAGAAGTGTTGCGCGCTCAGTGCGCTGTGTGGGTGGATAGTGTTCAGAAAAAATTATGAACTTTCTAGTTCGGATTTGGGAATAATGATGAAGACAAAGCACATGAGTCAAAGGGAGAGTACTCTTGCTGCAGGTCTATTCTGAATAGTCGGAATTCATCGAATGCAGAAAAGTGTGTGTGAAAGGTTTAGAAGAAGGTCTCAATCCTGAGCCACTGTGTGGTCGAGTCTATCGTTTTGATTTGGGTAAATTGGCAGCTGTGGGAATCTATGGTCCTTGCACTTCTTATGTTCTGATTCTATAGTCAGTATCTGACTATGTGTTGCCCAAAAAGGGTTGAACACTTAAAAAAAAAACGTAAATACTTTGCCTTTATCTTCTAGAATGGCTAAAATTTTGTGAAGAATGTTCTTTCTACCTATTATTGTATTACTCATGGCAGATGCGGGCATCATCCTTTGTTGTCATTGTTGGATAAAAGGCTTTGTGAAGTATTTGACTTTTAACTTCAAGTCCAATAAATTTATCAGATATGGCCTTACGTTTAGCTGCACCCAGACAACAAGCCACAGGGAAAGTCCATGATGGGTGTTTTAGATTTAGAACTTTATCGTTGGAGACGTCAGGTTGTAACGCTGTGTTGGTGACAAATGTTGACATTATTATTTTTGGAGGGTAATCTCAACTTCCCTGTTCAGATGTGAGTATATTTAATGGAAGATGAAAAAACCTATGCATGTTCTTCTCCTTGGCACCCTTGCAAACTATCCGCGATACAAGCATTTAACACCAGGCCGTGTATCAATGTAGTGACATGTTCTCTTGTCATATTTAGTTCTGGCTTGTCTATGCCCGAGGTTGATGAATCTACTACTGCTATACTACTATTACTAAATGTGTGTGTGTGCCCAAAGAGCGGTTCCAAAAGTCAGATTTTGACCATTTTGAGTTAAGGGTTGTACCTTATAGGAAATTCAATGTTGAACACAGGGGTTTTTGAATTTTTTAGATATCTCAAGTAGTCCTTGAGATATTGCACATTTTGCGAGGTAGGGTACAAAGATAGAATTTTGAGAAAATGAGCTTTTAAATTTAACAAACGTGAGAACTCATACAAACTGAAAAAAAAACTATTTTCAAAATATATTTATTCATAGAAAACTCAGGTCCAATTTGGCATTCAGTTGACATCAATATCAGGAATGGAATTCAATGGTGAAACATAGCAGGGATGAGAAAACGTGCTTCAACAATAGATTTTAACACCTTTTAAAAGCAGTTTCCATTATTTGTTTTTATTTTGCCCTGCCCTCAAAATAATTCCAAATAAAATATTTAGAAGTCAAATCAATAAAAACCCTTTCAGCACATTGTAAAAAAATGGTGTATCTATCATTTTTTTTATGGAAACACATTTTGGTTTAAAAAAAGGAATTTTTGTCATGATCAGCCTGTAGCTCGAAGGGTCTGGGGCGACTTTTGGTACCTTTCTCCAGGCGCACACGCAAATGACGGCTGAGATTTATGGAGGGGAGCAAAAAGAAAACAGACAGAAAAAGCTGACTGCGACCGGATCTACTCAATGACCGGATCTACTCAATGACCGGATCTACTCAATGACCGGATCTACTCAATGACCGGATCTACT